TCGTAAATGTAAACGTTATTGTAATTACTAAATTGGTACTCATATAGCTGTACATGTTGCAGAAGTTATCCATGCATTTAAAACGCGTTACAATTGTCTATAAACATAATATGTTGGTCACCTACTGTATTTTGTACTTCTGTAGCATATGCAAGAAATATACTTTGATAAATTTAAAAAGTATAGGCCAGACTATCTTATTTATTTTTAAGAGAAAAGGATAATTCTAGTTGATTATTATTCATAAAAGAAGTAATATTTTCACAATTTAAGTATTTCTGCGCATCATAAAAAAACTGTTAGATTTTTTTTTTAAATGTTAGTAAAAATGAGAAAGTTCCATACGTTTCTTTTAGAAAAATTAAACTTTTAATTCATTTACGCCTTTTAACAGCATCTCCGCACAACACATCAGTTACATTGGACTGAGGGATTTGGACCCTGGCGAGGTGTAAGTTTTTATTTCCACCAAAAAGTATTGAATTGAAATATAAGATTAGAACAATATTATAGAGCATAATGGCTATATAAGCTATTAAATCATTACTGGACAGGTGATTATTGAATAAATTAATAATGATAATAATATTTTGATGAAGATTGATATTGATGATGTCAATAATTGTCACGATAAAAGAGTAATAATGATAGCAATAAAATAATGATTATAACAATGATGACGATCATGATAATGATTATCAAAACTATAATTATAATAGTAAGGATAAATTGATTATAATGATAGTAGTAGTAGTAGTAATGATAATAATAACAATAGTAGTAATTATAATGATAATGTAATGACTAACAATAATAGCAACAATAATAATAACGATAATAATGGTTGAAAAAAAGATTTCACAAATAAAATTTATTGAAATAATGAAAGATGATAATAATAATCATCAGAGTAATAATTATAACAACAACAACAGTAATAGACCCTTTCAAAACCAGACGGATGATAAAAGACATGGGCATCCAAGCATTCTGGGCCAGTGATGTCGAACGCGTAGGACTCTCAGCTGTTCTGGGCATGTGTATGGAACATCTGAAGCCCTCGGAGAAACGCCCCCTCCATATATCCTTCGACATCGATGCCCTGGATCCTGTGGAGGCCCCGAGTACAGGAACGCCAGGTGAGGAGTCTCAGTTGGGTGGTTTATAGGTGGTGGAGAGGTTGTTCTTGGAGGTACAGTGTATAGGAAATTCTACAAGGTTATTCTGGAGATGTAAAGAGTATCCTAGAAGTGATTCTGCAGGTGTTCTAAAGGGGGTACAGGTGTTTACGTATAACAGGGAGTTCTTTCAGGTGTTTTACAGGTCAATCTGCACTGTGTCTTACAAGGCAGATAGACACGAAAACATTAGAGACAGAAAAGGCAAACCCACAAACAAACCCATGAAAAAATAAAGCAAAACAAATCATACACAAAGATAGACAAAACATGTAAATCCCTCCCTCCCCCCCAAAAAGAGACGAAAATCGCATCAACCTAGTTTTTGTTCTCTCTCCCATTCCACAGTGCGAGGCGGACTAACTTTACGAGAGGGCTTGAACATCGTGGAGGTAGCAAGGAACACAGGACACCTCCGCGCCTTCGACATGGTTGAAGTGAATCCCGACTTGGGCAACCAGAATGATGCCAACCTCACCTCACAGGCTGCTCGCCTCGTCATCTTAGCTGCCCTGGCTGGATATAGGGGTGCCTAGTGCCGTCATCGCTGGACAGCGAGTGCATTGGGGGAAGAAAGAGAGAGAGGGGGGGGGGGGCACAGAGAGAGTTTGAAAGGTAGGGAGAAGGAGAGGAAGAGTGAGGGAAATTGAGGTAGCGAGGGATGGGAGGTGTGAGAGGGTGAGGGGAGAGAGAGAGAAGAGATTGATATATATATATATATATATATATATATATATATATATATATATATATATATATATATATATATATATATACAAGTATATATATATATATGAATATATATGTGTGTGTATGTATGTATATGTATATGTGCATGTGTGTGTGTGTGTGTAGAGAGAGAGAGAGAGAGAATTCTTGCATATATTTTGTTCAGCCTACTGTACTTGTAGGCTACAGGAAAATCACTGAGATATATATTGTATTCTGTAATGTCCCATTAGTCCCATTCATGACCGCAGTCACTTGGTGTTAAAACAAAATATTAGTCCCATTCATGACCGCAGTTACTTGGTTTTAAATAAAAATATTAGTCCCATTCATGACCGCAGTCGCTTGGTGTTAAAACAAAATATTAGTCCCATTCATGACTGCAGTTACTTGGTTTTAAATAAAAATATTAGTCCCATTCATGACCGCAGTCGCTTGGTGTTAAAACAAAATATTAGTCCCATTCATGACCGCAGTCGCTTGGTGTTAAAAAAAATATTAATCCCATTCATGACTGCAGTTACTTGGTTTTAAATAAAAATATTAGTCCCATTCATGACTGCAGTTACTTGGTTTTAAATAAAAATATTAGTCCCATTCATGACTGCAGTCGCTTGGTGTTAAAAAAAATATTAATCCCATTCATGACTGCAGTCGCTTGGTGTTAAAAAAAATATTAATCCCATTCATGACTGCAGTCGCTTGGTGTTAAAAAAAATATTAATCCCATTCATGACCGCAGTCACTTGGTGTTAAAACAAAATATTAGTCCCATTCATGACCGCAGTCGCTTGGTGTTAAAAAAAATATTAATCCCATTCATGACTGCAGTTACTTGGTTTTAAATAAAAATATTAGTCCCATTCATGACTGCAGTCGCTTGGTGTTAAAATAAAATATTTATATATATATTCTTAGCCTCCAGGCTAATACAGTGGTAACATGTCGGTTTCTCATCCGAGGGGTCGGCGGTTCGCGCCCGGGCAGTTGCAATTGTCGCCTAGAGGTAACTGCTGTGGCTGGGCACCACGGCGGGTAAGGACAAAAGCCGAGTCAGCACTTGCTGATACACTGTTAGCGAGACGACATTAGTCGACAGAGGCCGGGCTCCCCTCATAGCCCGGGCGAGGCTCAGCTTCGCATATCGGACTTATCCTTATCCTTATATATTCTTCAGTGCCATGTGAATATTATGTTGTCATTGTGTTAAGATAATAATACATTTTGAACGTGTTATCCTGACATTTAGCCATCGACAAACCAATGATAACCTTGATATGATTCAATTATCATTTACCCTAAAGCCGATTTATTTCACTGCTTTGTGTTCATTAAATATGTATACACTAGGAATTAGCATATTAATCATATTATTCTACTGCCTTATGAATACTGAGGTTTCTCAGCATATACCTAATATGAATTAAGAATGAGACATGAAATGACAATGAAAATTTATATAAAATAAAATTACTTTATCTTCCTGAATGACTTTCATCTACTTCCCTCTATCAATTATACTTATTAACTGAAAGAGTTCGTCTTTCGCCATCTGACATAACTTTTTTTTCTCTCTTGTTAAAACAAATTTGCACAAGACATTAGAAACTAAATATTATGAAAGTGTTAAATCAATCCCTCTGCCTTCTTGGAGCCATACGAAAATCTGTCCCAGTTAAATCTCTCCCACTGGATAGGAAATTGATACACAACAATACCCTTTGAGATAACGGTACCAACTTCATCGTAGGGGAGACCTAACAGGAAAAAAAAAACTCTTTACGCTCTTTACGACATAAGTTCTTAAAAGTTCTGGTCATTTCAGATGAAATATAGACACAAAAAGAATTTCCATAGACGCTTGTACAATAAAACAAAATTAAGATGCCTTGATTTCCCCGCGTTTCGATTAATTTCAATGGGTAAAGAGTAATTGGTAACTCGGCAAACATTGTCTTATTTTTCTCATAGTTTCTTCGAAATGTAAAATTCAATTTATAATTTTCATAGAAGCGAATCAATGTTATTGATAATTTTGATTCTAGGACACGAAATATGAATAATTTTCCTCTCGCCAAAGAGAATCGTATCTTTTCCATTAGTTAAATAAACATTAAGATTTGCTCTTTCTATAATACGACCAATCTAAGGAGAGAAAAAAATAAGGACTGCAACTGGCCAAGTATCTTTTATTCAAATCAGCTGACACGTAATACTTATATTTACATATTTGCATTTCTAAAACTGATATGCGATATTTTTTTTCTTTTTTATTGAAATATTCAACCTTCCGCACCGCTATCGTTTCTTTCTTTCCTGAGATTGAACGGAATATAGTCTATGGATGTCATTCACAAGCAATGAATCTGCTATTGCGTTTACCATAAGTTAATTTGGATGATGGAAAAGTAATGAGCCTCTGCCAGTCAGAGGATTTCCTGAAGATCTCGCTTACCCCCCCCCCCCTCACCAGGACCACAATTTTTAATTTTATCATTATTAAATAATACATATATGGGTGTGACTATAGATTAAAAAGGCCCATAGAATAGCTTTTTTCTGAATATTTGTTCGTTTCTCTTGTCCCCAAGAAAAAAAAACTGAAATAACTTTCCCTTATAAGACTTCTCATTCTGAAGGACTGTTGTACTCAGTAATAAAAAATATATATACATCGGATAACTGTCGGTAGCATTGGTTAGATCATTATTTTTTTTTTTTAATAAAAAAAAACATTATACATTGGATAACATTAAACATTCAAGCTTCCGGGGTAGTACAGTGGTAACGTATCGGCCTCTCATCCGAGGGGTCGGCCGTTCGCGCCCCGCCCAGGCGCGAGAAGTTGCAATTGTCGCCTGGGGTTACTGCTGTGGCTGGGCACCACGGCGGGTAAGGACTAAGTCGAGTCAGCTGACACACTGTTAGCGAGACGACATTAGTCGGCACAGGCCGGGCTCCCCTCATAGCCCGGCTCAGCAAACATTCAACCAACTAGTTACAATCTGATTTTTTAAATCATTATTTATAATGATATTTATTGTAACGTAAGTGAACATTTCTGTTAAGGAAGAATGTCTACCCTTAAAATAA